TGTTCAGAGTCGCTCTGTGAGGGAGATGAGCAGTTTCTAAGTGTTTTATTTATTTGACATACATGAACGTGATTTACCCTTCCTGTTTTGAGGGCATCCAGAATGGCAGTCCTCGACATACGACCACAAGTGGGCCCAGGGAATCTCTGTTGCTAAGCGAGGCAGTTGGTAAAGTGATGTGTTCCTCCACCCCTGTTTTACCACCTTTTTTTGCCACGGTTGTTGAATGAATCACCCCTGCTTTGTTTAATTTAGTTACACGGTTGTTAAGTGAATCGGGCGTCTCCATTGACTTTGTTTTTGTTAGAAGGTCTCAAAAGGGGGGAAATTGCACGACTCCGGGACACTGCAGCCGTCATAAATAAGGAACCAGTTGATGGGCGTCTGAATTTTCGATTGCGGGGCCACTGGGATGCCACTTTTTTCAGTGCTGTTGTAACTTTGAATGGATGTTAAATGAATGATTTAAGTCGAGGAGTACCTGTGCAGAATTTAAAAAATAAAAAAGGGGGGGGGATTCAAACCAAGAAAATGAAGAATTGGAAATCTCTGAAAAACAGCAGCTCCCTCCCTGCCTGGCCCTGAAAAACCAGTAAAGGAAGCTGGTACCCCAGGACAGAGGCTTAGAAATTGGGGCCATCACCAAGAAGACTCTCTCCTGCTTTCTACCCAAACCTCCTGAGCTTCTTGTCTATGGAGATTCTCAGTCATCCCAGGCTATCATTGTCCAGTTGCCTCTTGAAAAAGCACTTTTGAGACTCCTAAGCTTCTCTTTCTCCTAATGGAACAGGCAGGCATGAAAGAGGGTAGAAAAATGTCTTTTTTGGCGTAGGTGAATGTGATATTCAGGTGGTCGTCAACTTACAATCATTCATTTAGTGACTGCAGTTACAATGGCGCTGAAAAAAGTGACTTATGATCAGTTCTCACATTTATGACTTGAGCATTCCCACATTCACATGATCAAATTTGGGCACTTGGCAACTGTCATGCATTTATGATCATCATAGCACTGTCCTGAGGTGCTATGATCACCATTTGTGACCTTCCCAACCAGTTTCGGACAAGCAAAGTCAATGGGGGAAGCCAGATTTGCTTAAATGCAGCACAGTTTACTTAACAACTGGGGTGATTTGGTTTTAACAATCATGGCAAAAAGGTTGCAAAATGGACATGACTAATTTAACAATTGTCTTGCTTAGTGATGGAAATATTGCACTCAATTGTGGTCTTAAGTTGAGGACTACCTGCAATCCCCTCCTCCTTGTGGTTGCCTTTCAAAACCTTTATATTTATTTATGTCTATTTTATTTATCACACTTAGAAACTGCTCATCTCCCTCACAGAGCGACTCTGAACAGTATGCCAATCAGACATCAAAACATCACAACTGTATAAATATTATAATAAAAGTCAGATTAAAACAACAAAAGTTTTCATTCAAGATGATAGAATTGGGCAAAGTGTAACCCATGAATCGTCTCTGCTTTGGGTTCTGTCTCTGCTGTTTATTGGTCCATGATTTCAATGTTGTACATGTTGCAGGAGAGAGTAAAGGAAAAAAATAGGAACAGAGACACCGAAATTAACAGGAATGTTATTGATAACATGGTGTGTGGCAATCATGTTTAACTACAATTAATATTTAAGAAAAAACAAGTGTAAATTACACAAAAATAGTACAAACAATATATCTCTTTCTCAGTCAAAGACCTCTGCGATATTAGTAGGGTTATTTAATATCCCACCGTCATTATTTTTATAAATTATCAACACAGGAAATACACCTCCTTTCTTTTATTTTCCCTACAACAACAGTCCGGTGAGGTGAGCTGAGAGGAATTGGCCCAAACTGACTCATTTGGTTTCCATGATTAAAGTGGGATTAGAGGCCACCATCTCCTATTTTCTAGCCTGTCTTAATCACTAAAGTCAAGTTATGACCAAACTGACAATAGTGCTGACTATTGTCTTTATTTTAAATAAGCCATCTTGACATTTTTTGGAAAAGGGTCTAGATCTTAACAATGTTAATTAATAAATGATCTAAGATTGCCAGTTTGATATTCATAACCAACAATTCACTTTTCTGTTAAAATACTTTACATTTCTAGTTTCCCAGATTGAGTAGAAGGCATTATTGTTCTTTGGGTTGGTATAAATTCAGCACACTTGGTCTCTTCTTTCCCTGATACATGAATTGTTGCAATTAGGTCAAAACAGGAAAGGGGTACTGTGGTTCCTGAAAGTTTGTGAACTGAGATATCTCCTGTTTGAGTTGCTGCAGGGAAATATTAATGCAACAAATTAATGCAGTGAAGTCACAGATCTGGGATCTGATAATTTTTTCACCTCTCTTATATGCTGACTTTTTAAACAGGCAGGAATTCATGATTATAGTGTTTCTGTGCTCTGTTTTGTTTGAGAATGTTTTGACACAGAGCTCCCAAAACCTTTTTCTATGGATAAGATTATAGTATCTAGAGCATGCTCTGTTTTAGCATCAGAACTCCTAGATCCAAACTTGAAATTGCTATAAATCTCCTTTTTCATTCATGGGATTGGAAGGGACTAGAAGTGGAAGAATCAATAGTCTCAACCTAACATGTTATAAGGATAAAATCAGAGGGTGTATTAAATATACAGGTAGTCCTCACTTACTGACTCTAATGGAACCAGAATTTCCATCACTAAATGATTCAGTTGTTAGATGAACCATCACATGACCAAATTGCTTAGCAACGGGGTTGTTAGGCCAGGACCTCACAATTCTTCCATGCTTGTCATGCTTGCATCTGCTTCAACTCCCTTCCCATTTCCCTCCCCATCTTTTCCCTTTTGGCTGCCTCACACTCCTCCATCTATCCCTGCCCTCCCAATTGATCTTCACCGCCTTCTTCCTCCTGCTGCTGATGACATGCACCTGGAAGAGACAGCTACTGGCCACTTGTGAGGCCATCACACACTGTGGTTGTAAATACAGGCTGGTTGCCAAGCATCCAAATTTTGGTCATGTGACTATAATGACCATAACTTTAAGGACTGACCATAAGTATTATTGTAGTTGTTCAATGTTGTCATAACTTTAAACGGTCATTGAATGAATGGTTTTTAAGCAAAGACTACCTCTATTACCCTGAGCTCCTGAAGGAAAGTCAAAATATGAGTTTAACATGTAAGCATATAAAAGTGCAAATTTTGGATTGCACCGTATTCCACAGAGCTAAGAGAAAGCAAGAATAAAATGTGACTTGTTTTCATATCTTTCTGAATCTTACCTGAAGCAAAAAAAAGTACTGTGCAAAAAATTACATTCTGATGGAATGTGCATTTTATGAATCATGCATTTCAGTCCATCTTAGAAACATACCAATGGGTTGTGTTGGTTTACGTTCCCCTCGTTCTGCTTATGGGGATGTTGTATTCTGCAAGATTATAGAGGAGATGTGTCCAACCTGTGGTCTACAGTTACAGTTCTGGACCGTTAGTAAATGCAAGTCCATAAGATTATAAATCTCTTAACAATATTATGTGATTTATATACATTAACTATATTATATATTTTATAAGCGACCCAACACAATTCCACTCATTGCGGCCAGGCAAGCCAAAAGGTTGGACACATATTCTAGAGTGTCTTCTAAACAATTATATACATACTTATTTTTTGCTCTTTGGTTGCAGTGTTAACAAGATACTGAGGTGTAGATGTAGCAAACGGTTTTTTTTCCTTTAAACAATGACATTTAAAAATAATTGCTTGTTGGTTCCTCTCCAAACACGGTTGTATAGCACCCCAGAGCAATATAGTTGAGCCTAAGTTTAAGTAAAATGTGACTTGATATGAATAAGATAATGTGGATGCAGTTTACAGATAAAGCTGATCCATACTTGTCTTGATTGTGTTTCTTCCTTGCAGAGTATTGCTGAAGTATTTAGATGTTTCATTTGTATGGAAAAGTTGCGTGATGCACGCCTGTGTCCACACTGCTCCAAGCTATGTTGTTTCAGTTGTATTCGGGTAAGTAATCACAAATTTGGAGCCAAGTTACTCATGGGGAGATAGTAACTGGATTTTGGATGTGTGGTTTTGAAAATACTTCAAAACAGATGTAAGTGTGCAAGGATTCTAATTTATTGGCACACTAAGAAAAACAATTTTAACCTTTTGTTCTGGTGCCTGCCTGCTTTCCATTTACTAGTAGCCTTGCCCAGAAAAAATATTGGAATAATGTATATTATTTCCCTAAAAAAACAGCAGTTCTGAATGTAAACTGATATTTTTACAAAACTAAAGATTAATTCTGACTTATTTTCATCTTTTCTTTCAGCCCAAGATGTAAAAAATGTTGCTTTCTTTTCAGGTCTTTCAACCAGTTGAATTTATTCCTCCGATTATGCTTAGATATGTATCCCCTTTTTTCAAGAGGCCACTGGACTTTCTGGTTTTTCTTTGAAGACGTTTCGCTTTTCATCCAAGAAGCTTCTTCAGCTCTGGCTGGATAGTGGGGAATTGAAGGATGTCTGCAAAGAGTATCAATCCTTCCATTCCACAGCATCCGATCAGAGCTGAAGAAGCTTCTTGGATGAGAAGAAAAACGCCTTCAAAGAAAAACATAAAGTCTAGTTGCCTGTTGAAAAAAGCAACCTTTAGGACAATCATGACTTGGATGACGGAGAATCTCCATATATATTTAGATTTGTATGTTGCTGTTAAACTTCTTAAGAACCCAGAAGTTTATTACAGTCACAAGTGATTCTAGTGATTCTCTGAGAGCTTTTACACATTTAATTTTCTGAACAAAATAATTAAATAGGGTTGGACCAATATTTAGGCTTAATACATTGATAACATACAAAGAAGTGCCATGACCAACTTTCTTGATTAATTGTTACCTCCATGTGTGACTAATAGACCACAGGTTCATATCCCGCCTTAGCCATGAAAGCTGGTTATGTGAACTTGGGTCAGTCCCTCTTTCTCAGATCAACCTACCTCACAGGGTTGTTATTGTGGGGAAAATAGGAGGAGGAAGCTGTGTTGGATATATTTACTGCCTTGAGTTATTTGTAAAAATAAGAAAGGTGGGACACAAATAAATATAAATCTAGACTAACATATAGACTCAGTTTACACAGCATTTTAAATTAAACTGGGATTGGCTAGTTTATACATTAGCATGTTCTGGGAATTCAGCCATTGTGTGTGATCCAGCCCATTCAACAAGTTATAATTTAGTATTGGGAGTCATTTTCTGAACGCAATCGTATACAGATACAATAAATAGGGATAGACGGCAGCATGTGAATCCCATTCAAGAATAATTTACTTATGCTGAAGAAATATGTCCAAGCTTATAGGATTTACGCTTTTCTAATGTTTCTGGAACACTCTGGTGTTTTATAATATGCCTGTTTTGTTTGACAGCGTTGGCTGACGGAACAAAGAGCTCAGTGCCCACATTGTCGGTAAGCTTTCACTTGAAGCCCTTTGGACTGTTGTGGTACCCAAAGCAAATTCTTTATTTTAGGTGGCTTTTTTTTTTTTGCTGATATTCACAATGCATGTTTGGGAGGAACAGACAGATTATAATTTACATTTGGCACATGATGGAATGTTATCTATCTTGACCTTCAGTCATGAATGAAAGTTTAGCCAAGGTACAATTTTAGAAATTGTCCATAATTGTCACTCATTGAGGATAAAAGAGCAGTTTTTGAAAGTTCTGGGAAAAAGAGCCAGCTTTTCTGATGTAACTTTAAACAATTCTTCCTAGGTCAAAGTATAGACAACCTGGTTCCCGCTAATACTGTCATCGTAATGTACACTTACCTAAATATCCATATACCAAAATGAATACAAATGGATAGTGAAAACAATACAGTGAAACTAAAGATAGATTTATTGTAACGCTATACTTAAAGGTTCTCTAACGTTTCACCTGGAATCAGTTTTCATCTCCCCAAGGGAAGCCTACTCACAGTTTGGGAAGCCCTGTTATAGTAACTTTGACCAGGTTCTGTGATTTCCATCCTATGAGCCATCACGACCAATGCTCTCTCTCTGTGCTGTAAATCTCAAACTTATGAATGCTATTTCTTCTTTAAATCTTTAAACTTCTGGCTTTTATTCCCCCCCAAATATATTTTTTATTCCTGGTTTCAAAATCTGTTGGACAAGATTTCCCTCCTTGAATGAATATGAAATTATTTGCCATTCTTCATTAATTAGCTTCCTCTGAATGTGGAAGAAATCAGAAGGAACATTTCAAGTTCGAGTGCCTGAATTGTAGTTTATTAATTGAACACCCGCAATTTCTAATATAGTCTTTTTTTTTATTAAATGCTTCAAAGGTAGAGAGATTGGATAAAGATCTTGTGCATCTGCATAAACTCCTGTTTTCAATTCTATAATAATAATTATTCTATTCTATTTTTTCCTCTAAGAAGCAGGATTTTTACTCAAAACTTTTCCTTGCAGAGCTCCACTTCAATTGCGAGAACTTGTCAACTGTCGTTGGGCAGAGGAGGTGACCCAGCAACTTGACACACTCCAGTTGTGTAATCTGAGCAAGCATGAAGAAAATGAAAAAGACAAGTACGTAGATTTAAATGGCCTGTTGACTGAAGGGTTTGTCATGCATTACCCCTAAATTCGTTCATAATCAGACGTTTTAAAAACTGATGAATTTTTCTCCTGGAGTGGATTTACAGTTACATTGCGTGAGATGTTAAAATGGAACATTGGTATTTACTGTGAAGTTTGTTTTCTGTAATGCATTGAGGGTGTCATTGGTGTGCCAACCAACCATAAGAGCCGAGGTGGCGCAGTGGTTAAATGCAGCACTGCAGNCCCAGCCAGCTCTCGCTGGCTGGGGGATTCTGGGAGTTGAAGTCCACAGGACTTAAAGTCGCCAAGGTTGAGAAACACTGATGTAGATACTTCCACACCCAAGACAAACTCTCCTATATTACGGTGTTGCTGTACCCCATTTCTCTGAGTTTGCGTTTCGGAATAAATAGTTCCTCCTCACTGTGGTCTGGGTCTCATTTTTATTTATTCTTACATAACCCCGGCTCACGTTGGAACCACAAATTATTCTCCTGACGGGATTCTCTGGGTTTTCTTTGCCGTTGGACTGAAGGGGCTGGGAAGTTACGCACGACGATGGGTGGGGTTGATAGTATTTATTTATTATTAACTAGCTAATAACTCGGCATTGTCTGGGTATTTATTTATAAGGGGAAAATGTCCGGATGAAACGTAGTATCTAATGTTGAATTTTTCCCCCTTACCAGAGGGAGCCCCCTTGTGGAGTACTGTGAACACTATGGTGACTCCACAGCGATGTACAGTAGAAGCCATTTTACGGCAGTACGGCAGAAGCCATTTTAAGGCACAACAGGCTGTATCTTAACAGAACACCACTACCACCAGGGGTGTTAGAGGCGTCTTACTCCCACAGTATTTATTTCCAGAGAGTAAGTCATCTGTGTACCAAGTTTGGTTGAAATTGCTCGAGGCATTCCGGAGTTATGCTGGAACACACACACACACACACACACACACACACAGTTGTTGTTAGATGCAAAGTTGTGTCCGACACATCACAACCCCATGGACAACGTTCCTCCAGGCCTTCCTATCCTCAAACATCCTTCTGGAGTCCATTGAAGCTCACGCCGACTGCTTCGGTGACTTCATCCAGCCACCTCCTTCTCTGCCGTCCCCTTCTTGTTCTTTTGCCCTCCCATCATTCCCAGCATGAGGCTCTTCTCCAGGGAGTCCTTCCTTCCTTCTCATTCGGTGGCCAAAGTACTTGAGCCTCCTCTTCAGGATCTGGCCTTCTAAAGAGCAGTCAGGGTGGATCTCCTATAGGATTGACTGGTTTGATAGCCTTTATGGTTTAATTTAAAATATTAATATAAAAGCTAATAGAAATTATACATTATAATAATATATTATATATTAGCTCTCTAAAGTTCTGGGAGATCCTATTAACAAAAAATATTTACTCTACATGGGGCTGCCCTTGAAGAGTATTCGGCGACTTCAGCTAGTCCAGAATGCGGCCGCGGGAGCGATTGTGGGTGCACCTCG